TGGAGCTAAAACTGATGTTGTGGATAAAGTAAGTAAAATTTTAACTCAATTAAAAAATTTACTAGGTAAGAGTGGTATACGTTACTATCTGATAGAGTAGGTGTTGATTACTCGTCTTATGCAGTTGAGAATTATGATGTTATATTTATTCTTCTATTATCATAGGATTGTGAAACGCTATTACATTGTGCTAGTGAATTTAGTAAAATTGAAATGCTTAAATTTTGGATTAAGAGAGGAGATTATGACATAAATGTTTTAAATAAAGTAATTTATTTCAAAACTATCAATTATTACGTTGTATTTTAGAAAAACAGACCTCCATTTTTCAATGCAGTTAAGAGTGGTAGTATTGAAGCTGTTGATATCCTATTAATTAATGGAGCTAGAACTGATATTGTGGATGAAGTAAATTAAACTTATTTTGCAAAATATGTTAAATTATACTTGCTACTACTTGGTAGTGTTGATTAGATTATTTGGCATTACAAAATATTATTCTTCATAGGATGGCGTAACTCTACTACATTGTGCTGGTGAATCTGGCAAAGTTGAAATGCTTGAGTTTTGGATTAACAGAGGAGAGTATGATGTGAATGCTAAAGATAAAGTAATATTTATTTCAAATTATCAGTCACATTATGTTGTATTATAGAGCAACAGAACTCCATTGTTTACTGCTGTTAAGAGTGGTAGCATTGAAGTTGTTGATGTTCTATTAACTAATGGATCTAGAACTGATGTTGTGGATAAAGTATGCACTGGGCCTAATAAAGCTAAAAGATAAGGGTATCACATGTACACTGAAAATTCAGTAGGGCTTGGTAAAACTAGTTAATGTCTGCATTTTTTGGGATGAATGTCCTTGAGCAATTTGTTTGCCGCATTCACCTAATTTTTCATTAATTTTATATAGTGTTGTACTACTCCATTACACTTTGCTAGTGAAACTGGTAATGGTAATATTATCAAATTATTAATAACTAAAGGAAATGCTGATGTGAATGCTATAGATGAGGTAAAATTATTCAATAATCATTTCTAATTGTATCATTTTGTGTTGTATTCAT